AGGGGGAGAGTAAAAAAAATTTATTTTTTTCCCCGAAGAATGCCTTGGGGTTACTTGTAGCAAACTGCAAGTCTGCGCGGTAGTTTAAAGAGCTAAAAATGTAAGTCTTAAAACAAAGTGATGGTTTACAGTACAGCTCAAAACAGATGTTGAAGCTTTTTCGAGAATAAAATCTTCAGGAGCTGTTCAGTGTTTCAGCTAGTGCTCCTGTGGAAGATATTAATTCAGGAATTTATTAAGGTAAAAAGGAAATCACGTGAATTTAGTCTTAATGTAACTTTTGGATCTAGTATAGTCTGTTATTTTCATGTCCATTGGTATTTTTAGGCATTTATTTATCTGCTTTTTAAGGGGCCTCAACTCCACCTCTGCTTGCACAGCTGGAAATAATTGTGGGAATCATTTGAAGGGTGAAAATGCCATATGGATGTGTAACAATATAAATATATGGTGTCTCACAGGAATTTGTATATTCTAATTCCATATGTAGAGGGTGATTTCTGGTATGAAGACTATCAGATAGAAAATAAATGCAATTCCCTGAATGCCATATAAACATGGGAGGGTTTGGTTGGGGTTTTTTTTGTGAATTTCTCCTGTGGAAGCTGTTGGGAGCCTTGTTGTAGCAAAAACTCTGGCAGCTGCTGAATTCTTATCTGGTGTTGTTAAAATATCTGTTAAAAACACTGTAGTTCTTTGTACACGTGTTTCCAGTGTTACTACCATTAAGGGACTTTTGCTAAGAAAACCCTCTGTAGATAGAATGAAAGATTTATAACACTGGAAGCAAAGGTACCTGCTGGACACGTGCCCCCAGATGTGACTCACGCTTCTGGCATGCTCTGATTTGGTTGTATCTTTTCAGCAGGACCAATTTTTGAAGGGTCTTTTCTGTTTTCACTAAATTTACTTGTGCTCCAAGGAAATTAAATGAGATTTGCACGTATGTGACCGCTTGGTCTTGGCTCTTCAAGACTGAGGTACTTCTTAATTACTCCGAGGGAATCTTTTTTGTCTGGAAACATTAAACTTCTGTCTGGGAGGATGCTTGAAATAATTTTTCTACAGAGGCGTTTTCTTTGTCTAGTGGAATGTTGAAATTGCTTTGCAGTTGTTTGAGGAGTTAAAATTCCTCTTCCATGCAGGATCCCCAGTTTATTCTTTCTCTCTGTGGATCAAAATCCACATGTACCGAAGTAGTTGTGGACAAATACTGTGCGAGTTATTAAGGCATGCCAAGGTAAATAAATGCCTTTGTGCTGCTTGTGCAGCAGCAGCTAATTCAGCAAATGCACTGGGAAAGCACCTGCCAAATTAGTGGGTGTATTAAACTTAAGCCAAGTTCAGCTAAAACATTCCCTGAATCCAAATCTCCTTTATTTGGAGCAAGGTAGCGAGGAAACACAGCAATGGATTGTACATTCTCAGCCGATCATGTAACAGCAGATGGTTAAAAGGAGCCTCTCGGATGCTCTTCAGGCAGCATATTCCTGCTAAGTGATTATTTGGATTATTAATGTCCCACTGTAGCACCTAGTGATGATCTGAAAGCAGCTTTATGGGCTGTGACTTTTGTGGTGATGAGCACTAGAGACTCATGGAATTAATAATGTTTTAATTGTTATTGCTTGAACATTGATTAAACTTGTTTAAGGACTTTTAAGGGATGCTGTCATTGAGCTTGACTGGTTTAATAGTGTGAGCCTGCACCTCAGAATGAGACCCTGGGGATAAAGTGCTCTGTTCCTGTCTGCCCTTGGTGTGGTGAATCCTTTGTGCCTCAGTTTCCTTTTTATGTGACATTTGCCTGTGCTTTTGTAAATGTTAACTTTGACAGGGTGTGTGGGTAGAGATCATATCTTAATCGTATTGTTTGCAGTGACCTAAATTACACAGTGACTGTGCAGGACTTTGTTGGTGGCCACCAGCCAGGCTGAGGTTTGCAGAGGGTGTGAGAGAATTCATTGAGTGGGACCTGGGTGCCCCATGTTGCTGGCTCTGTTTGGAAATCCTAGTTGAAGTCATTTGCAGCTTAATCACACATGGAAAGACTCTTCTCTTCCCAGGGGACTTTTTATTCATTCATGTTTGCTGCTAGTAGAGTTATGTTACAGTAGGAAACCACGATTCCTGACCTCTGAGTTGAATACATGTTTTAAAAATAGTGATGGGACAGAAGAAAGAAGAATAAATAGACTTCACTTTAAGGGCTTGCTCAAACCAAATCGATGTGCTGCAAAATACTGCACCACACTTTGAGAAATGATTGAATCAAATTGTTTTTCAGGGGCTTGTGTCAAGAAAATTGTACATTGTTGATGGCAGTTGTGGAGTAATTCTGCCTTTTTCATCTCCACCTAAGCAAACAAGAATTATCTTGAAGAAGCAGCAGGTTATTTTTGGATTTACTTTTACAGAGAGCCGTTGATAAATGGCTTCTAGAAGACTCACAGACCCATCAGTGCAACAGAACTGATAGAGAAATAAAGCAAAACAAATATTTACAGAGAATGCTTATTTTGGGTGGAGGTTGGATATGTAATATTTGAGTTATTTTAGTTGTAATAAACCTGATGTGAACACTGAGGAAGAATGAAATGTTATGTCCTCGTGTAAGAAAAGAGCTGCAGCTGCCTTATTCACTGTCTGAAGAGAATAGACCTCTACAAATGTTAATTAACAGCATGGTGCTGTGTGGTGTGTGTTGTTGAGGGGTTTTGGGGGGTTGGTTGTTTTTTGTTTTTTTTTTTTTGTTTGGCATGCTATGGAACAGTGAGGGGTCTGAGATAGGAGTTTGGCCAGGGGGCCCCCAAGATGACCTTTGGTGGAGGCCAGGGGACCTGGGCTGGCTCAGCCCAGAACAGAGATTTGGTGGGACCAAACAGCAGCTCCCGTGCCTGGGAAGTGCTTGCCAAGGAGACTGAGCCAGACTCTTCAGCAGAGTGCCTGTGAGAGGCAGCAGGCTGCAGTTGGAACGAGAGGTTCATGTAGATGTGGGGGAGAACCACCTTGAAGAAAGGCAAGAGGGACCATCCACAAAGACTGTGCAGCCTTGGGGAGTTGCAGGGTCTTATTAGGAAATGTCCTGAGCAACCTGCTCTGATCTCATAGCTGTTCCTGCTCTCAGGAGGAGGTTGAATTACAAGTCTTCCAAGCTTTTTCTGACCTGTTTTCCAGTGATCCCCTGTATTTGGCATATGTGGTGATATCTGATTGCTTGATTGAAGCAAGGAGGACTCTGAAGGGGTGACAGGAGAAGTATTCTTATTGCATGATCAGTGTCAGTAAGAGGTTTCTGCCATGTACAGCGATACATTTCCATAGTTTCAAACTGGGGGCAATTTTTATAGTCATTTCAGAGGTCCCTGTGAGACCTGACACCCCCACAGAATTCAAAAATTCTTCATCTGAACTTGCCTTGAAGAACTCATGAAGGAGCCACCCTGAGAGCAGCTCACACTGGTGAGCTGTTTCTCATTGAAGTTTCTCCACAGAAATTTGGTGTGTGAGATGCAGCACCACTAAAACACAGTTCACATCATCTGTTCTAAATGAAAAGCTGAAAAACCTTTGCCAGGTCTACTGGATACATTCAAATCCAGAGTATCCTTCTTGCATCTGCTGAAAACTTCCATGTTGTTTTTCTTCCTCACCTGCAAGCAGCTGCAGCTGGGTGATGGTGGTACTGTTCAGTGTTAATCTACTGGAATATTAAGTGAAAATCTTTCTGCTGTATCAAGTGGATTTGATCAGACCTATGCAACAGTATGAGAGTCCTACTGAAAGAAAATAGTTCAGGGATTAAACTGCAGCTGAACATAAGTTTTGTAGCCCATGGGGTGAGAAAGGGAGGGAAGTGCTGGTAACAGTGGAATCTGAATTAAAGCATATATTCAGCTTTTACTGGAAACAGCACAGCAAATCCCAGTGATTTTCTGATTTATCTCGTAGCCTCATGAGTACAGTGTGCAGCATTCAGCTGTTCTGCCAGTCAGGAGAATGGAAGCCTCTCTCCTTTTCTTTCATGTCCCATTGATTCATCTCTATAAACCCACATGCTGTGAGATTATTTTTCGGGTCTGTTTGAGGGGCCAACATTTCATCAAACTGACAACTGCAAATTCTGCGTGCAGGTTTTCACAACAGTGAAAAGAGACAGAATTTCTCTGAATGTGCTTTGTACTGGATGCTGGTCAACTTCTGAGTGGTACTTTTTAATGGAAAGGGGTCACATGAATTATTTGAAAAACATGGTTTACTTGTCAGCTGTTGATTCAAAATTTTGTGGTTTGATACGTAGATAAGTGTTCTATAGCAGGATAGGAAAGTGCCACTTTTCCAAATTAAATAAATCATAAATTCATTGCCTTCAGGTCTGGATTTCTGTGGGTTTTCACTGGGTTGAATACAGCCTTTAAGGAGCAACCACACCTAAATTTTTTCTCCTCTACTTTTCCACTCAGAAATCAGTCCCCCATCACAACAATTGCAGATCTGGCAATTTCCACATGGAAGCTTTTGCTCGATACAGTTCAGGGCTTACTTATCCACAGAGGTGTTTTCTCCACAACTGGCATGTCACTGACAGCACAAAATGAGACTCTGCTTTTGATACACATTCACAGTATGTAATATAGTCAGTATTTAAAATGTCTTTAGGGTCTCAGTACTACTGATCCAAAATGTTTCATCTGAATAGGCTTATTAAAATCAATAAGTCTTCACACACTTAAACAGAATTATTTGTTAAGTTCTCAAAACGGGGGATGCTCTTGACTCCAAGTCACTGGATGAAGGCTGTTGGAGATGCCATTGTTGAAAAATTGCTGCTATTTAAAAACATGCTACTGATGTTTGCTCTGAGAGCTTTTACTTTCTACAGACAAAACTAATCCAGCAAAAGCATGACTGTTGCCAATGTAATATGCTGCCCTTGTGGTTTAGGACATCTTTCAAAGGCCTTTCAGCATAAATTCACTACAGTTTTTCCTGTTTTACAGATACTGTGAACAAGGACACTGAACCCAAAGATCCATTTCCCATTCCAAGAAAGATTATGGCTGAACCAGACTACATAGATGATGACAATCCTGAATTAATTAGACCTCAAAAATTAATTAATCCTGTGAAGTCATCCCGGAATCATCAAGATCTCCATAGAGAGCTGCTTATGAATCAGAAAAGGTAAGAGTCTAAAAATCACCCTGCCACCCCAAACACACATCTTGAGTTTTAGTTTCATCATAATGACACTGTCCCCAAATCCAGCAGGCACTGTTTGTTGATTCAGATCTTGTAAATTGAAAGACTCTGATTCTTAACCGTGGCATTTATTTCTGTTTCAATATCAGTGCAAAAGCTTGCCTTAGAAGGCTTCTCATTTTGTTTTTGTAAATACTCAGAGGGTCAGTTTTGAGAGGAAGTAGTTCAGTTCTCCTCTGTTACATTTCATATGAATTACCTGGACACTTTAATTTGTCTTGTACTCTTAACATCACCAAGTATTTGACAAAATTTTGCTATTAACAGCGGGATGATGAAATCTGTGGACTTTCACCATTCCCAGTGCACTGAATTGATGAGTCCACTTTTAAATCAGAGAAATCACGTAGTTTATTTCACATGGAACTGTTCTCTACTTATTTGATCTGTCTCACAATGCAGTGTGATAGTCTGGTGCCTGCTGTGCTGCTGCACAAGTGTTTCTTTGTATGTTTTGCAAATGCTGCCTGCTCCTCTCTGGGATGGGATGCACAGCTGTTGCTCTGTATATTGCTTTTAGAGATGTAAACAACCATGTCTTCATTTCATCAACTTCAGAGACACAAGCACCTGGCCCAGAAATAGCTGAAGTTCTGTTAATAAATCTCTTCAGCAACAGAGAAGTCATTTAGAAAACACATTAAGAAAATAGCCACCAGACCACCTGGTGGAGGAAAAGGCATTACGCCTGTTGATGCTCCTTTGTTTAAACCAACAGAAACTAGCTGTGATATCAATTGGTGATTTGGTGCATTGAAGAAACCCAAAATGCACTTTTCAAATGCAGGGTATGAGGATCTAAAAAATAGAAGTGGAAGAACAGTATTTCAGAGTGCATTTGAGCAGAAAGCTGGTGGTAGCAGCCATTCCGACTTTCTGAGACTCAGGACCTTGATAAAGAAGAGTAAAAAGCCATAAATTTGGCTACTCCAGCACAACTGGATTTATCTATTTGGCAGGAAGAGTCACATCATGGCAGTTTTTCTCTCTCTCTTTTTTTTTTTTTTTTTTTTTAAGGGGGAGACTACAATACTTTGGCATTGTTTTATTTTGAGGGGAGAAGTGGTCTTTTTATGTGGAATAGCAAAATCCTCACAAAAGCTGGGCTTAGAGACTTAATTCTAAATGGATTGCATACACAATATAGCATTTCTTTAGTGATGAAGAAGGAGAGATATTTTACAGAATGCCAACTGAATTGGAAGAAACTGGCCTAAATAGGTATTTGTCCTATTTTTTGTTAATGGGATTAAACATCAAAGTCAGTTCCTGGTACCAAGAAGTTTATAGTCATTGAAAGAAAAATAGTTGAAGTTTTCCAGTGATCTTAATCTGGAGGATGTAGAGGCTGCAATAAATTAAGACTATTTTTTTTCTTTTAAGTTTATGAAAGCATGCAGCACTTCTAAATAGTATGGAGTTCTTTTCTTCCAGGAAAATATCCTATTACACAGAGAAGTTGTGCAGACTTCAATACCCTCTCTTCTCATATTTTGATTAGCTGCAGCTGATAATTTTAGATTCTTATTTATTGGTGCAGAAATAAATGAGGATTTTCACCAGCATAAAAATTGGTATCTTTTAGAGGAGGGTTAGTCTTCTGTGCTTTTGTCACTGTACTAGCTCTGATAGGAGGCTTTTCAGTAATGTAGATATTAGGCTCTCTTCTGCTTTGTTACAGCAAACTGTCAAATGTGTGGAGGACTTTCAGTGTTCTTATAGAAGCCTGTTTAACATGCTCCTTATTTTGTTGCAAAGACTCAGTGTAGACATCAGCAGCTTCACTTTCTGGACCCATCAGCTCTGAACAGCCAGAAATGGATGTTGGAAGATACTAGCTAGTACTGGTCCAGTCATTCTCTATGCCAACTGTGAGCAGTGTCTGTCAGGTCTAGAACTGGTATAGTTATTAATTTGCATAAAGGGTAGTTGTTTTGTGGAGAGGAAAAAAAAATTTAAAAAAATGGGTTCAGGTGGTGCTACCTCAAGGCACTGGTCACTTAAATTCTTTTTACTTACTAGGAGTCAACGTCAGCTCTGCAGAATATTGGTGCTGTCCCTTTCAGAGGTTTTAACCCTATCAGCTCTCACTTGTGTCATAACACACTTTGCTTCCTCTATATCAAAGCCTTAGAATTTGTAATTTAACCAGAACAGTCACCAGGAGGTGATACAAGACCCCAGTTAATCCAGTATCCAGAAGTTTGTTGCTTTTCCTTTTTACAGAAGAGTGGAAACAGGATTGACTTTATAGTTCTGTTACCGATCTGCCATCCCCTCCTGATTGGATTGAGGGGTTGTATTTACTTGTAGCTTCTGCAGGTTCCCTTTGTTTCAGCGCATCTGAACCAGTCTGTGCCTCTGCTTTGTTATGGTGCAACCTCAGTGAGAAAAGCAGCAAGAGTAATGTTATTTAGCAGCTGCTCCCTGGTTTGTGGCTGTTTTGACTGCTGAGTGCCAATGTGGAAGCTTCCACTCACTCTGCTCTCACCCATCCAGTAGTAGTAGTAACAGTAGTAGTAAAACATGACTCTAGCTTTTCCTGCCTGACTTCAGTTTTATGTGCTAAAATGCAATTAAAATAGCATGAAACATAAAATATGAACAGTCTTGTAGCTTCTGTTGCACTCAGGCCATGAGATCTATTATGAGAAATAGGGGACAGCATTTGGTGTTGCTAAATATTTGATTTTGGTGTCAGGGTATGTACAGGGATAGAGTGTTGCATAATATATGGAGTCATTCCTAGATGCCACCATAAAATGGCATTTTAATGTTTTACTGGACATGCTGTCAGATATGCATATTAATGAATAATTAGGCAACCACAGATGTATGGCAAGTAGGAAGGGTAAAAATACGCTTTCTGAAAGCTTATTCAGATTATTGAATTTCTTAAAGTTGAAATAAACGGTTGATGTTAAACTTAACGCTGGATGCTTTCACATAATTGTCTTCACAGGAAAGACAACAATAACAAAGACAAATTTCGGATCTCTCTGCTCTGCCTTAAGTGACGCTAATGCCTGAATAACAGGGAGAGCTTTGAGTCTTATAACAAATTCTGAAACCATCATAGCGTTACCGAGATCAAAGAAATAGCTGAAGTCACAGAAATAAGTAGGAGTGAGTATCCATGTGTGTACCCATATAAATAACGTCATGCATCTTCCCAAGGAGTGAGCTTTCTCATTCCAGAGTAGCTGGCTTGGAAAGCAATTTGTGCTGAACAGGCTCAAAACATTCAGTTCATGCAGCACCTAAAGGTTTGTCAGAGGGAGAATCCTCCAGGCTTTGTCTGGTCTCCAAGGTGATGGCAACTTTTTCATTGTGGATTTTTGTTGTCTTAGGCTCTTTGTGATGTTTAGTGTAGCCTGGGAGCTCTCACTGGAAATAGCTTCACAGCCAGGCATGGGTAAAGCTGTCACATTTTCAAGGAAAGGAGAGAATCCATGATTTCCAGGAGCAGTGTGACAGACCACTTCTTAGTTTTGTCCATGCAGACTTCCATGGGCAGAATAGCCTGCACAGGACTGTCTGAACACAGTCCTTCTGTGTTATCAGGCACCAAGCAAATTCTTCATGCCCAAAATTTGTTTGTAGCTCTTACAGTGTCTTGATCTGTGATGGTTTTTTCAGTCAATTCTTTTGGAATGAAGCATAGAGGAGAAATACTAGCATGCACATTAAAGGGAAATCTCTGTGGTGATTTTATGGCTTAAATCTAGCTTAGGGTACTGGTTAGAAATCAGGAAAATGTCTGCACATTTCTTCTTTTTAATTTATATCCCAGTGTATCTAAATAGGCAACTACTTGATTTTAATAAAACTACCTGCAATTCTGTGTGAATTCCTGCTAATTAAAGCTGATCTCTTTTTTCTCCCCTCCTCCCCCATGTAATTTGAAGGGGTCTTGCACCTCAGAACAAACCAGAGCTACAGAAGGTCATGGAGAAAAGGAAACGAGATCAAGTTATTAAGCAACAAAAAGAAGAGGAAGCACAAAAGAAGAAGTCAGACCTGGAAATAGAGCTACTGAAACGGCAGCAGAAACTGGAGCAGGTAAGATGAGGAGTAACTGACATTTGCACATCTGCATCTGAGCTTTTCACCTGAGGCTCCCTTTGGAGACAAAAAAGAAGCAGGAGCCAATTTTTGGCATATTTCCCCTGGTTAAATTCAGATATCTCTTAGGATAAATCAAATCATATTCTTTAATTACCAGTTTTCACTTAATGTATAGGAACTGCATATGGGGTCTGCCTTTGGTCAAATGAATCCTGCACCAGCCAATAGGAATGTGTGTGGACACTGATGCTATTTAACCATTGAAGCTATGGTGATTTAGTCAATTTTTTGTAGTCTAACCATGATCCACTAAGAATGGCTGTTAGGCTGTAGTACATCAAAATTACATTTAATGAGTTAAAATCAATTGATTCTCCTGAGTTTTGTAAGAAACTAGATAATATTTAAAAGATCTTTTGTAGTCTTAAAAAAAGTGTGAGCCCATTGGTGTTTTGAAGTGAAAGAAAACGTCCTCAGACCCTGTGCATGGAGATGATGTGGAGTTGGAGTTCCTCGTGGTGAAGCTTTTTGTCAGGCACAGGGCCAGCCAAATGTTTCAGTGCCTCTGGAAGCACTTCATGTGCCTGAGAGGAAATATCTCTACAGTGAAACAGCTCATCAGAGAAGTCACTGTGCATCGAGCAATGCATTTATTTTAAAATAAATGAATGCTATAAATAAATGCTTTAAAACAGTACCTCCTGTGTTTTTCAAAAGAAACCAATTAAGCCAAATAATTACTGTTAAAAATTACATGTAATCCAATCATTATAGGTTTTAGGGTTTTATTATAGGCTGGGTGTTTTTTTTGTTTTAATTAGGTTTAGAAATATTTTTGGAGAAAGCTATTGTATTTTTAAGTGTATCATCCTGTCATTTTTCTTATCTCTCTTAAAGGCCAGCTTTGAATGGTTCAGCTTGTGGGAAGATTTGATTTGAAACTGAGCCATCCAACATAGATTATGTAGATTAGAAAATTCTGTTAGAAGAAGAAAAGCCTGCCCATTGCAAACAGTGCTGTGACTTTGTAAACATCACAGGAATGGCATTAATTGACAACGTGACTCATGGAGGGACATTGTTGTGATTTATAGAAACAAGGCATGCCCCTTGTCGGTGAACCAGACAAAGGAGAGATTATTTAGGTGAGCTGTACGTGGTCCCCATTAATCAGGGAGACCTTGTTCTGTTTATAAAGAAAAAAAAAATCTCCTTTCAGGCACTTTTGTTAGTTTTCTAAAGCTTTTTTTTCTCCCTTTCTACCAACTCATCTGCCTTCCCTAAGGATCACTAGGCAATCCATATTCTGTGCCATGTGTGAGCCTGTGCTGGATGGACCCTGCTTACATAGCTTTGCCACACAGAGACTTTCCATTCCTCACATGGAAATTTCAAGTGTCTGTATAGGCAGAAGCTCCAGCTTTATTAAAAAAGTCAGTGAATGGGTTCTCAAAAACGAATGGCTAAGAGCCAACGAAGATTTTTTGGGTTTTTTATTGCTTTTTGTGATAGGCAAACCAGATACTCTTAAAGAGGCTCAAGTTAGATACAGAACTTAATTCCTAAACATACAGAAATCAGTTCTGCAAGTGTGCTCAGTAGTAGCTGTTCACGTGGTCTCCCACGAGGCACATTCTTCCTTGCTCTGTTGTAAAAGCCAGAGAAGGGAATTACTGTTGTTTCTTTAATGAAGATGTCCAAGAATTTCTTTAAAAATGCTTCATCTTGTTCTTGTACTGGGGCTTGCAGAGTTTTTGTCTGTCTGGCAAAGGTGGACATCTGGAACAAGCTAGAGCCAAGGATTTGAAAAGATTTATTGTTTGTGAGAACAGATACTCCCAAAGAAAGGCAATTTTATCTTTTCCATGAGACAAAGAAAGGAAGCAATTTAAAGTTTGGCATGGCGTTATTGAAGCCTTTAGTTTTTTGTCTTGTATTTTAGTGATGTGTTTTCTATACTTTTTTTTTTAACATGTGATTCCTTTTTAAGCTGGAATTGGAGAAGCAGAAGATACAGGAAGAGCAGGAAAATGCGCCTGAATTTGTCAAAGTCAAGGGCAACTTGAGGAGGACGGTCCAGGAAGCAACAGAAGCACCAGACTCCTAAAAGCCAGCGCCTGCTTAGACTTCCATCTTTCCTGCAGAGAGAGGCTTTTGCAAGTTGTCTCACATTTGCCCCTCAAGAGGGAAAATAACAGCTGACACTTCCTGAAGATGAGATTTTTAATTCCTGGGACGTGTGGATTAAAAAGACAGTATCGTAAACAGATCGACTTGCCAAATACAGTCCTGAGATCAATGGATAAGGAGTGTCTTTGTCAGTTCAGTGTCATGGACCAGGCTGACTTGCTTTCTCAGAGATTTTAACCAGGGATACTAGAGAAACTCCTTCAGTGTTGCACTGCTTTAACTCTTGTGAGCCTCATTTAGTGGAGATACACAGATTATATTTTGCTTTAAAACAGAACAAAAATCCTCCTGTGATATCAAGCTTTGCTGCGCAGGTAAATTTCCTCCATCTAGGCCTACAGCTTCTGTATATCCCACAATAATTTGTGTTTAGTTGGACTTTTTATTAAATCTAGGAGGATATGAGGTGTGCTGATTACTGCTGCCCATTCCCATTAGGATAGGTAGGTGTGGGCAAGATGAGAATGCTTAAAATTCACCAGCAGTGAAAAATTAAGCAGCCTTAAAGCCCATTTCTTGCTGTTTGGCATGTAGAATTTGGGCTATGAAAGAGCAAAAATCTGATGATCCTTTCACAGGGAGACTCCAGAAGCTGATATATATCTTTGTCTGTAAACTTACATTGTTGTGTACAGGCCTGTGAAGTGCTACCTGTGAATTTACCTCTCAAAGCAAAATGATCTATCTTCTACTTTTCATGTTTTGAAATCCTGCTTACTTTGGTGTTGTGGCCTTTCTCCTCCAAGGACATGCTGAACAGAGTACAGTGTTAACACATCACTTGGTAGTGTTTGAACTCATTTGCTGGAACTGATCTGCCATCAGTTCCTACTCTTTGCTTGCAGACACTTGTTGCAGTTTCTGCAGTAGAGAAGTGTTTAAACTAGACCAAACCAATTACTGGAATCTACTGAAATGGAATTTTTTTCCCTAAAATGAGGCATAAAAAGAAATCAATTTTATCCCATCCTTCATTCAGCCTCAAGAAAGAAGGGAAGTGTGTTACCGCTGAGACTTTGGGTCCAATTCTGTCATCTTCTGCCTTTCCACAAGTTGCCCCTGTGACTTGCCATTACATAAAATACTGCTTGCACAGGATGACAGAATCTAATCCTTCATGCTTATGACTACTAGTTATCCAGGAAAGCCTGGGATGAGGAGTGGGGAACAGATTGCTCGTGTAGGATTATAGAATTGGATTCTTACCTGGTGACATTGGGTGCAGATACATCTTCACAATCTGGGGAGAATTCCTTGTCTTCCTTGGTTGGAACAGTCCTAGCTCTCACTGAAACTGTGTTCATACATACCTGCTGAGGATCTAATCCCTAGCTTTTGCCTTAGGATGCTAAACACAATAATTTCTACTTTGTAATTACATTGGACATAACTGTTTGAGAAAACTTTTTATTAATATCAGCAGTGGCATGTTTGTATTGTAAAGGTGTGGTGGAGGGTTGTTGGTTTGGTTTTTTATAGTTCCTTTTGCCTTTCCTATAAGTATTGGACATTCTAAATACAATTTTAGATTAGCACTTGGGACAAAAGACTCACAATTAGAAATGTTTCCTAGATACAGACTTTAATTTGTTAAGGCATTTTTGTGAGGACATAATCAGATAGAGGGAAAATTGAATTGTGATAAGCATATTGCCATTGATTTGGACTTGCAGTGTGACTCACGTCTGGAAGATTAAATGTGAAGATGGTCTAACAGACTGTTCAGATTATGGACATACAGAAGACAAAGGCCAAATGTAAGACTCTTCCATGTATTATCTCAACAAAGAAACACCCTGAATGCTGCAGGTTTTTCCCTCTCTCCTTCCATTCTCCTGGAAGGAGAGGATCTTCTCTGTCAACACATCATTCCAACACTTGCACTGATTTTGTTTCATGCTGTTGAGACAGCGCTATGTCCAAGCCTTCCATGCCCTGCTCGTGCTTCATCTTAGCTGTTCCCAGCCTACCAAACATCCTCCCTCTTGGTTTCAGCTCCACATTAACCTTCTGCTCTGTATGGAAAAGTCTAAAGTGAGTGAGGAAACCTTCCTCTGGCTTGAGCTAACATTGCATGTTAGCCACTTCCCCTTGGTGATCATGGCAGTCTTACCACACATGCACAGTGAAATGAAATCGGTGGCGCTGGGAGGGGTGGGGGACACAGACCCCCCCTTTTGGCTTCAGTGGATGTGTTGGATTGGGCCCTCAAGGCTAAAGGCAGTCTGCTTTCTCCACAGGTTAGCTTGTGATTCAGGGTAGAGTTTCTGAAACACAGGAGTCCAGAAAACTCTTTTGTACATACAGCATGAAGTTATTTTTTGTTTTTCATTGGAATTAACTCTCTGTGTGAACAGAACATCAATGTGTGTGTTAGAACATCTGTGAATCCTGCTAATCTTTTAGTCTAGGAACCCCCAGCCACCTTCATATCAATTTTGACAGGCAATAGCTTGTATTTGAAGTCAGGATTGGGCAACCCTTCAGTGGGGGGCCAGTTAGTCACACCACAAGTGTCCTGTGCAGCTACTCAAGTAAGAAACTGCTTGGCAGCAAGCGTAAGCAATTCCTGCTCTGCCCTTCAGCTATATGGGTTTTGAAGCAATCCAGCAAATACTTCAGTGATCTGAAAATTGCTCACCACTTTGTACTTTTTAAAAAACTCTTGCTTTTGATAGTATAGTAGTAATTTTTTAGCATTTTTGTGGCTTTAACATTCTGTTAATATCTGCACTTGTTTGAGTGTACATATATAAATACATATAAATATAAAAAGGGAGCCTTAATGGATTTGTTTTCATAATTTAATATTTTTTGTATTTGCTCTTGTATAATTGTTTTTAACTAAAGGTATTACAAGAATGAGGGTGGAATACTTAGAACCAAAGTTATGCTTAATAAAATCTACTACATGCTTGGTGTATGTGGTGGTGTCTGTCATATCCCGCCAAAAACTAAACCTTGGGGGCTGCTCTGAGATAACCCAGATTGTTTAAAATTCTGCAGTGTGGGGGAAAGTATCAAGATCATGATGACTCTTGGTTCCTTAAAACCTTGCATCCCTGTTTGTATGTGCAAAAGTTGACAGAGTTTGCTGTGCCTCTAAGCAGTATTATCTTTCTAATATATTTGAAGCAGAAAGTTTTTAATAGGACTGCGGCTGTTCAGGTAATCCAAGGTGAGGCAGAGCATGAGGGAAAACTGATGAGAGTCAGGTAATTGTGGAAATCATTCCCTGTCAATCCTTGGAATCATCAGCATTGTAATAGCTCCGTTTCAAATGAGAGTGAGAAGAGAGTAACAAGCCTGGTCCTGGGATCAAGTCCTACAGTGCTCCTTTTAATTTAGCCAATGCTCCAATGTATGGTTCTGGTAGGAAAGACTTGGGCATGAGAAAAAAGGTGCGGGCATAAATGACATGCTGGGTTAGCGTCAGACAGCTTAGTGCCAAAGAGCAAAATCCTGTGTCAACAGCAGATAGGGAAGGTAGCAGGGGATGGACAGGGCTGGAAGAGGTGTGTGCCATCAGTTCTCCACAAAGATCCTCAGCTTGCACTGCTGAGCCCTGGCCACTGGGCAGGTGACAGTGGAGGGAGAGCTGGAGAGAAGCATGGGGCGAAATGAAGTGGAGGAGGAAGAGAGCAGTGAATTCAGAACAGATGTCAGGAAATGCTTTTTTCCTTCAGAAAACTGCTCAGCATGTGGAATGGGTCCTGGCAGTTCTGCTGATGCAATGATGCTGGACCTGCTCCAGGAGCTCTCGGATGTGGGGGAGGTAACAAAGAACAGAGAATTAATAAGGGCTGAGTTTCTATGGCCTGTTGGAGATACTGCCCTGTTCTCTCCTCGCTCAAGTGTAGCCAAATGTGTTTTGAATTATCCTTTGATATTCACTCCAGCTCCAGAAAGAAAATGGTGAGGGTATGTGATCTGTTTTTGTAGCATGTCCAGAAGAAAAGATGATCCTACTTTTGTCTGGTTTTTTTTTTGATTGCATTGAGCTAATAGGTTTTGCCACGTGGCTTTGCAAGCACCGGTCCACTGGGAACTTTGCCTGTGCTCCTGGGGCCATAGGCAGATGGGTTTTGTCATGCCGTAGCTGTGTGGAAAGGAAGTACCTTGAGGTCCCTTAGCTGCTCTTACAGGGTCTGTGGGTAGTGACCTGACTTGTGGTGACCAGTTGCACTTAAGAAAATAACTGGAGACCAAAGAGCTGCTGCTGTGCAGTTTCCATAGGATCAGAACTGATATTTATAGGGGGAAGGGAGGGCAAGCTGGGTTCTCAAGTCTTTGCAATACAAAGAACACAAACACTTGATGAGATATGGAGGAGGGGAAATACAAGATACTTTTTCCCTCCCACAGCCAATTTAAACTGTTTGTGCTGTTTGGAATCTTTCATCTGTCGAGTAAAGGCTTGTGATACTGTCATCGACATTAAGGACGACTCTCCTCAATGTAAGTGGCAGAAACCGTGGCCAGAGGAAGTGTTTGGTGGTGGTAATAGAGCACAGATATCCTGACTGTCAGTCCAGTGCTGTTGTTGCACAGCTTTTTTTTGGCATTGCTTCAGACCTAGGTGAGGGTTTGCACTTGCTCGCTCCCATGGCTGCTGTGCCTCTCTGAGGTTAGCAGGGACTGCTGCTGTTCTCTGGGCTGATTTTGCTGAACCTCAAGTACATGCGTTTGAGCTAATCATCCACTTTTCATTGATACCAGAGCAGAGCAATCAGCCCTGTGTAGTTGCCTTCATTTGACTGTGGAGGAGCCCACAATGCCTGACTCAGGGGAACTGTGCTCGCCTTGCAAGAATTCTGAAGCTGGGCAGTTCAAACGCCCCTTCCAAGCCACTCTTTTCCATGGAGTTTTGTGCCCCGGGATAGATGAGGCACCTGGATGCTATTAGTAATTTGACCCTTCATGTGTGTGTGGTTCCTAATGTGATAAAGAGCCTTTCTCTGCAACGTGCTCAGCAGCTCTGGTGTTTGGTGCCATGGCATCAGCCCAGGTGCTTGGAGGGGACATGTGGCCTCTGCAGGGGGCTACAGAGAAGGGACCTGCCCCAGGCCAAACACTGACCAGCAGGAGGGGAGGTGGCATCTCCACTGTGGTATGGGGGAAGGAGGATGTGAAGCACCTGAGAGGGGGCTCCAACAGCCAGAATTATCTACTGCTGTAGCCACAGTACTTAATTATCTGAGTAATCATTTTCGGAATTAACTTCCATTATGCACCCAAGTCTAATCTCTCAGGTGGATAACATGATCAATTTAACACAGATTGAGGCTGGCACATGGAAACTTCAGCCTGATTAAATGAGAAGGAGGAACATGTTTCTTTCCCCCTCTTCAGCTATTCGGAAACAAATCTTTAATAATACAATCAAAATGCCAAGTCTACTTTATTGTGCTCAAAAATTCAAGAGTGCCCAGAAAGCCTAAGCCCCTTTTAGTGGGGTTCATTTAAGGTAGATATTGCTTGCTATAGAAAGGCAAAGGGAGCTGCCTGTGGATTCAGGACGTGGCAACCCAGCCCATCTGAAATGGTCTCCCTGAAAGAGGATTTGTGTCCATCTGGTTGTCTGTCCTTTAACTCTTCCTTTGGCAAATGAAGTCCAAAAGATTCTCTCATGAAAAGCTGATCAGAATTTCTTTCATCAGTAGCAGCAGAAAAAGAGAGAGACCCCTTGAATTTACACTGTTAAACCTGGAACATTCTTCATCACTGTGGTTGTGGGTCATTAGGGGTGATTTTCTCTAATGTGCAGTTTGAGCTCTTGTCTTCATGCAGCTTTGTTTTGGTGCTAATCCTTTCAGTGAATTCTGCTCCATACAATTTCAGGGAACCACCTTCATGAGCTGAGCTCAGCAACAAGTGGGTTAGGGGAATTTGTGAAGTCCAGGGTGTCCCATACATCACAACGTCTGGTTTGTTGGGGAAATTTTACTCTCATTTCTAATACAGATAGAATTAACTTCTTAAATACCAAGGAGTAAATTCTCTTCAAACAGAGATCTTGAATTTTTTATCGTTTTCTTGTTGCAAGGGAGTTGCTTCTGCTTTGTACCAAGAACTCTATTCCCTGTGTATTAGGAAATTGTTGTGATAACCAAACAAGAGCTGATCTGCAAACTACCTGCAGGTTCCTCTGCAGTTCGAACCACTCAGTACTGATGCTGTCTGGGGAGGAAAAAGGAGGTTCTACAAGGAGGGACAGACAGTGAGAAGGCAAGTGCCTGACTGATGAAGGTTTCCACCTTGTACCCAAGGTTAAACAGTGTCTCTGAGGATGCTGCTCACAGCCTGTGTCTGTGTTCACATCTAATGTACCATGTGCCTTTTTATTTCCCCTGAAGCCTCATTGTGGTTTTGGTTCCTTTCCTATTGTTTCCTTTCACCCCAAGCTCTTCCTGCCTATTCAGGCCCTCCCTGCCTTTGGATTATTTCCCAGGGCTGGTTTGTAATGAAAGGCATTTAATTAGCGAAGAATCCTTGGGATGGATCCTGAAGTGGGTGTTTGAGGCTGACTGCTGCAGCGTGGAGGGAAACCCAGCCTGAGCCCTTGGTTTGTGGGGAGTGGAGATGGGAAGTACTGAGTATGTAGGGTCCAGGAGCAGGTGGGAATAAAAATTCTGACAGCATAAATGAGAAACCAATACATACATCTCATAGCTTTTATCTCAGAGCCCTACTTAAAAAGTACTGTGACGAGAAAAACCCTATGGGAGTGAAAAAGAGAGTGCCAAAAGTTTGTTTCTTGATGCCTTCTCTACTGCCCCTGACCTTGTGAGACCCCACCTGGAATGCTGCATCCAGTTCTGGGGGTCCCAGCACAAGGAGGACATGGAGTTGCAGTGGGTGCAGAGCAGACCACAAAGATGATCCAAGGGCAGGAGCATTCTCTCCTAGGAAAACAAGCTGAGAGAGCTGGGTTTGTTCAGCCCAGAGAAGAGAAGGCTCTGAGGAAACCTCGTTGTGGCCTTCCAGTACCTAAAGGGGTCTTACAAAATTGAGGGGGAGCAACTCTTTATGTGGGCAGATAATGACAGGACAAGGGAGAATGGTTTGAAACTAAAAGGGGAGAGATTTTGGTTAGATGTTAGGAAGAAGTTCTTTACTCCGAGGGTGGTGAGGCCCTGGCACAGGTTTCCCAGAGAAGCTGTGGATGCCCCATCCCTGAAAGTGTTCGAGGCCAGGTTGGAGGAGCCCTGAGCAGCCTGGTCTAGTGGGTGACATCCCTGCCCGTGGCAGGGAGTTGGAACCAGCTGATCATTAAATTCCCTTCCAACCCGAGCCATTCTATGATTAGCAAGAACCCTAAAATACATAGAAGCAACGCGTGGGCAAGCTCAGCTTGCCCTCCTTACAGCCATAAAAGCCTCTCGGAAGGATTTGCCGAGCCGGAGTTTGCTCACCCAGCGCAGCTCCGGGCCCGGGATGCTCCCGCAGCCCCGCTCATCTCCCGCCGCCTGCTGCCCTCTCCCGGGCACAGCGCAGCGCAGCGGGCTCCAGGGCTCGCCTTTCCTGCCCCCTGCAAGGCTTTCCTCTGAAAACACCGCGGCGCTGAGCTCTCGAGACCGAGCGACTGCTGCTTTCTTGGGGAAATGCGTTATTATTTCCTGATTGTTGCGCTAAGGCATCGCTGATTCACCGCGTTTAAAAGCCTTGACTGAGTGTGTTTCAAGAGCTCGGTAACTCAGAGCTGGATTCACAAAGAGGTGTTTGGTGTCCTGTGTTAAAGTGCAGTGGTTCGCCGTGGGGCGATCTGTGATGGCTGTTGTGGAGTCTCTGGAGCTGTCCATCGGCAGCTCCCTGCAGAGATCCAAGCCGTTCTCAGGACAGCTTGGAGATGGGATAAACGCGAATGTGCCAGGGTTGTGTTTGGAGTAGCCTTCTCCAGTAGCTGGTCCTTTGCCTTACGTG